AAATGTACGTGTTTTCATGGAAATTTTCATTACACTTCCTTTCTGAGCCAGATTTATGCTACGCCTCTAGAAAACTAAGCTTGGATACTGGTCCAAAATTCATCGAATTAAGAATATTCAATTTAAGTGAAGACAACATATAAAGAAGACTGGCAACTCTTCCATTTTCTCAAACGATCGACATGAGACAGTCACAATCGCGTCATCTGCCGCTTAAAGGTGAATGCTCCGAACGAATTGGATAGCAAAGGTTCCATCCTCAGAAGAAAGATTTGTGCATTTGCTCATTTTTCTATGCGTTGCTTCCACCTTCGCTCAAGCACAGCGCTACTGTGTCTGTCGCTCGGATTCAGGCAAAGTTGCCAGTCTTCTTGATATGTTGTCTTCGATTTAGGGAAGGTAGATATTAAATTTTAATTTAAAAAAAAAAGTACATTCAAGATTTTAGCCCCATTTTTTTCAAAAACAGTGCTCTACAAATTATTCATCTCTGCTTTATTGTGCTCAACATTATAAGGAGAGATCGAAATATGTATAAGTAGAGATAAATCGAGAGATAAATGACTGGACCAAGTGTACGAGAATCCGATAACCTCAAACCGCTATGGCCAATCCTACTGCACCCCTTCTGGTCTTCACGGAGACGCCTTGTGCGTAGTGTGAAGGAATTTCAACTGAAACATATCCGTTGCGTAGGGATTACTGATACGAAGAACGAAGGTACGTGGTACTGTACCGAGGAATCATGCGAACGGATCAAGAAGCGCAAGGCCGCTGCCATAGTGGACCGCCGTTATTGCTAGAGTGGAGAAGGAATCGAAGCGTATGCATCTGTGGGTAGATCAAAGCTCATGACATTCAATAATTTGTGATAATATTGAACAAGTACATCTGGTATTCTTCCGGGCAAACTGGGGCAAATGGAAAATACTTCATGCACCAAATCCTATCATGCAACAAATTAAATTTCAAGAATTGACAATTCTTTTGTTCCCTCCCCTTGGCTAGTTTTTGCACCTTGCTGTTGGTGGGCGGACTTAATTTCATGCTTTATAGTGGAGTGTTGGAGACGGTAGGTTTATGGCCGGCGTTGCTGGCTCATGCCGCGATAGAATGGCGTCATCGGCAGGCAATGGGAATTACTAGGCTTTCCCTCTCTGATAAACCACTGCATGAGAGAACCAAAGATCACACTTGTTACTCCTTTAATTGAGAGCCGCGTCGTAGTACGCTTACGTATAGGCACTGACGTTGGGTGTGATACTGGCGGGTTTTGCCGCAAATCACTCTTATTTTATTTATTTTTACGCAGATAGATTTATTTGGGTTTGCAAGGGAATTATACTATTGAAATATTTCAGAAAGTGCCCAACGGTGCTCCTTCTATTTGCGTGACAAGCTTTCATTGTTGTTTTCATTGAAGTATTACTCAGGAAACAATGTTAAACATCATTTTTTTACATGGTATTGTAACTAATCTTATATGTGCTTCATTTTGATTTGGGATAAGTGTTTTCCACTGTGGTGTGCTTCTATTGTGACATACCCATATGTATTTTTGTGGTGCGACATAGTGGAAACGTGAGAGCGTAATTGGAGCATATACCCTAAATAATTTAAAAATCAGCTAGGAAACTAACTTCAAAATGAAGCATTTTAGTCACATGAAGGTGTCACCTGGGTCGAACTAAGATATAATAAATAGGTATAGGTCAAAATCAAAAGTTCTTGAAACACGTTTAATTTTAGATTACAAGCACAAGTGCAGGTACTTAATAAAGCATGGGTTATGCTTGATTAGGTGAATTAGAGCTTTTAATAATTTATTAAATTAGACTAATGAGATATCATAATCATCAAATGAACTTAAATAAGAAACTTCAGAAAGTCTAATGACATTAAGTAGATTAACAAAAGAATTAGGATGCGGGGGCCGCTTAGGGAGGCAACTAACCTTTAAAGTTGTAGAATAAATCTTCTCATTTAGTCTTGAACTTTAAAAAGAAAACGCAGGCAGACCAATAGCATTTAGCAGATTAACAAGGAGAGGAATAGTTTAGGAAATAAGTAAAAGTAGAGGTATGTGACAATTAATACCTTTTAAACTTTTGGAGGCATTGTATTCCCCTGAGTTTGTTGTACTCGATTACTATATAATTCTCTCAATACGCGAAATCTCTTATATATGCGGTTAAAGCATTTGAGTTAACTTATTTCTTAGTGTTCAAGTACTTACATTTGTAAACAGCAGTCAATGAGCTAAACCCTACGTAAAATCGATCTTTCCTTATGTGGTATTGATGCATGTTTAACTTTTCGCGGCTGTCGGAATCAACGCGCCTACGTCTACGCGCTTACGCAGAAGTGATTCACAATGCGGTAGAGTTCACCAAAAGTTTTTTTTTTTTGAGCTTCTGTAGTATAGAATTTGTTCAGTATGGTCGCGAAATCTTGAAATGATTGATACGTGCGGTAAAATAACTAAATTGAAGCAAAGCTCAACAGTAAAATAAGTAGAATATTTAGGGAGGAAACCAAAATTAATCCACTTGCCAACATAGGCTATCACATTTATTTTGGTGGCACTCTTTAAATGATAATAAGCCTTTTTTCTCGCTTCGGTTGTCTCGCACGGCTTTCGGAATTCGCGCGGTTTTCGTAACTTACATAATTTAGATATTTCGTTCGAAACGGATTTACTTATTCAATCGGTTTACTACGCGGATGTATCTACGCGCACACGTCACAGCATTTTTTCTATAACTATCTTGAAACAATACATACGGAATCCAGTGTTCAAGCGGCTAACATAGGCTAGTCCTTCTGCTGTATTGTCAAAGATAGAAGCAAAATATATTCAAATGGGTCAAGTCTTGAAAATTAAGCTGTCACGCAGCTCCAGCTTGATACCCAAAAAAAAAAAGTATGATGTACATAAATGGAGCGTAACATATCATATAAGTTTACATTATATATCATGTAAAGTTCTAAGACATTTCATGCAATGTAGCAAATATTGTATACAAAAGCCCATTGTTGTAAATAACATTGTTTATAAGTTGCTCGTTTGTGTGAATTAATGTTTACATCACTATTAAAATTCAGAATTTTTATCTGTGCGGGACTGACATCCCTATCTCTACAAGCAACAACTGGTAGTAGTCAATATAGTCGCTATATTCATAGTCTAGCGGAGAGAAATTCCATGTAGCAAAAAAGAGAACCAATTCAAGATCTTGAAGACCAACAAATGAAAAGGGGCTCAAGTTTTATAATCAAAACTACTAAGATGGTTCATTCCTTGCAAACCGAACGCAAATCAAAAGCATCGGGGAATAGGGAAAACGTTCCCCAAGTGAATTATTATGTTGTTTTGCCTAGACAAGCTTTAAATCGCAAGAAAAGTGTTTCCGGAATTTAGGTCGCAAAACCTGATGTGCTCTTATCTGTTGTTGGTCGTGATATGCTCGATTGGTTCCGTTATTTGGCAGTTCAATTGGTTCCCGAAATTCTATCCGCCAGACTATGAATATAGCGACTATAGTAGTCAATATAAGCGAGGGCTCAGACTGTGGGTCCAGCCTGACAACGCATGCATGCGCATGTGTTATCATGGAAATCAGCCATGTTATGTTAAATTTGAATACTTTGAAACTTACACTACGGATACGACATGCCAGGCCCGTGGATGTAATACAATGGCCGCAACTAGGGGAAGGACAGCTCCAAGTATCAGCATCAATACCGATGGTGGAAATATTAAATATTCTAATATGTGTGATATTTGCGAATCTTATACTTAGTCTGACAGTTGTTTTTTTTTGTTTTTGGCTATTTTTGATTTTAAGTGTACATTTGACATTCTTTTAATCAAAAATGGATTTCACACGAGAGGCAAGTCATTTCATGATGCTGGCCACCACCACCAAAAACCGCTCCTTTTATAATAAATTCGGCATTATTTGGCAGCTGATCGCAGTGCACTTCCGTTCCCAGGAAATAGTCATTAATTTCCACGAATTCTTCATCGTCTGCGAACCAATGTGCTGTCCTCCGATGGAACGGGAATCGACCGACTACGCCACCCCTGTAAGCGGAGTCCCAGAATGATGGTTCCGTGGTCGTATTACGCTCGATTTGCCATGAGCCTACAGCTTAGAGAGATTTGCTGCTGGGGGAACGTCCAGTACCGTTTTTATCATGAAAAGCCGAAGTCAAAATCGATCAGAGCGATCGAAAACGAAATCTTGGCAAAAATGATGGCAAACAAAAAGCTGCAGTTACATTGTTAATTTTTTACTTTTGGCTTTCCGCTCGACAGCTAATATCATTAATATTCATACTAAAAATTATAATAATTACCAATTTGAGCAATTTTTACACCAAATATTACTTCAGATCAAGTTGTACTTCCCCTAAGGCCGCAATGATTATTTTCCCTTCTTTTGATCACAAACTGTTCTTTCATATTTTTTTAAAATAGATCATGATAAAAGGTCTAAAGGAGTAATATTTGAAAATGTTGGTTTCTTTCAATAAAATACGGAAGAACAGCTCATAATAAAAGAAGTAAAAATCATCATTTATTTTATGTTTTTTTTTTTTATTTATTCAAATATATCATATATTCATCCAAAAAAACATATACATCCTATATTTTTATTTTACAAAAATAACAAAATTAATACTATGTACTTCTTCTACAACATATGATGAATAGATACAATGGCATTTCTGCCCCACTGGCGCTCCCAGCTCACTGGCGTACTTTTAATAGAGATTTTCCCTTTTTTCAAACATGAGCTGTTCTTTCGAGTGTTATTATTGCTTTCTGACTGATTCTTCTATTTCTGGGAAATTGTACATTCTGGGGAATGGTTCATTCTGGGGATTTTTTCTCTGGGAAATGGTGCATTCTGGGGAATGTCATACAATCGGTATTTCTGTCTCCTCTACGGAATGTATTTGCAATCAAGACTCATCTAATCTATTTTTTACAGATGGCGAAACATGCTTGTTAGATATTCTGGATACAGCAGGTCAAGAAGAATACTCGGCTATGCGTGATCAGTATATGAGAACCGGTGAAGGCTTCTTGCTTGTATTTGCGGTGAATAGTGCCAAAAGTTTCGAAGATATAGGTAGGAAATAATAAGTTTATCATGTGCACACAACTTAAATATGTCCCAAAAACAGGAACCTACCGAGAGCAAATCAAACGCGTCAAAGATGCTGAAGAAGTCCCCATGGTGCTTGTCGGTAACAAGTGTGATCTGCAGGCGTGGGCCGTAGATATGAATCAAGCGAGAGATGTGAGTTTCGGAATGAGTATAAGTTAATCCGAGGCTTAATTCATGTTTTTTTTCGGTTTTCAGGTGGCCAAACAGTACGGTGTTCCATTTGTTGAAACGTCCGCCAAGACCAGAATGGGGGTCGATGATGCCTTCTACACGCTCGTTCGAGAGATCCGCAAGGACAAGGAAAGAGGGAAAAAGAACCGAAACAACAAAAAATTTGGTTCAAGTCGTCGGTTCAAATGTCGACTGCTGTAATTTCGTTTAAGAGAATCGAACGCTGCCCGCTATTTTACTTTTACAATTACACTGTCTATGCATGGGAAAGTATGTGAACCTTTCTACAACCGCACAACTAAGCAACACTCAATATGTGTTGATGATCGTTCCCTTTACCAATCTGCAAAAATCACCACAAAGAAGATACAAAATCTACATTTATCCGCAATATGAAATTTTTTACTATTGTTGTACCAGAACTATCCGTAGTCTTGTTGAAGCGCTTTAAATGCGGATTGGAATACAGGAAATCAGTAAACGACCACAGCGAGGAAACAAAATAAGAAACGATTCAACTAAAATGGCAACCAATTAGCTTTAGGAGAAAATTACGAAAATCTTTTAAATTTTTTTATTTTTTTTTTGTTTTATCATGCAATGTATTTTTTTTTAAATTCTACTCTTTTATCTCAGTGCTATCTATTATGCTTGTAATAAAACAATAACCATAATAAGGTAACTAGTAGCTGGAATTTGTTCTTATCCAGAATGCAATGTCTGAATTTGAGTAAGTAGCATTTAACTAACGTTGACAACGCCTTGGCGGAAAAGAACCTTTTTCACGAACACAATACAAAAGAATGAATTCTTCGTCTACTTATAACAAAGTGCATGTGTCTGGAAAATTTCTAAAAAAAAGTAAACAATAATCCATTTTGTAATCGAATGTAATCAATCAACTAGGGAAAAAAGCGGTCCGAGGTATGTTCAATTATTTTTAGTTGCAGAAAACATGTGAAGCGTGATATACCATTTGAGCTTGGATTGTTTTATTACATGATGGTAGGCAGGTTTCAAATTGGTTTCCAGTTTTCTCACTGTTCTAATGTTAATCAATTTTCCGTGTAACCATTTTCAGCATAACAGTAATTATTGAACGTTGCATGCGCAGTATGACATATGCTGTCATAAGCGTAAGGAGGACAACATGAAACTACTCATACACAGTATCTAAATCACTAGCAGGAAACAATTATTTGTCAATCTATAACGTATTCAGACAAATGGACAATGGTTATAATGTACAATAGTATGACTCGTGTTTACCCTTCCTAATTTTAATCAGTCCCACAAGTAAACACCGAACTTCACAAATCGATATTAATACGTTGGAAAATTAATTGCACTTGCTGAAAGTTTACTCAATATCTCATCAAATAAGAACTGAGCAGACAATTATACTGCATACCTTCATAAACGCATTGAAAACAAATATGAAGCAACTAGTGTAAAGAAATGGTTGATCAGCAAATCTGCGCAGAAATATAATTGGCATATAATGTAAAAATTCCAAATTTTTCACTAATGTGAAGCAAGCATATTTTATTAGTAAAGAGTAAATCAAGAACAAAGTTCCAATGAACTTGTTTAGTAAAAAATACTACACAAGTAAAGAAAATAGCGTAATAAAGGAAGGGTACAGTGTTTGCTTACGCGTTAGTGGTCTATCAAGAGCAACAAATGCGTCGAATTCTACTTTTAGCAGTAAAAACGGATGTGTGCGCTCAAACAAATTTCCAGTGCGCTTAATGACGATAGTCTACTGATGGATAAGATATTCACTGTTGTAAGGCGAATGTAGTAAAAATATTGAACAAATAAAATTGATGAGACGTATTCAATCTAACAATGTCGCTTTTCTTATACATATATTATTGCATGATGACGGCACTGCAGATGTACATTAAAAAAAGGTCACGAGGAACAAAGCGCGTCGTTATATTGTTTCCGAAAGCAGTTCGAGAAACTCGAGATTGTTCGCTGAAAAAAGAAACTATGCGCATCCCGCATAAACGCGAACCATAAATTGACCTTACCTAAAATGGTTAAAAATTGTTTATAATCCCTGCTAAACTTTAACTGAAATGGTTATGGAACTTTACATGAACGTTTAATGATAAAGTTTCAACCTTATGTATTATGGTTTTTTGGAAATGGACCTTACAAATAATGGGTTGTTAAGAACCATTACCATTCCAAATTCTTGTTTTCTCCATACATTTTCAGAAAGAGAACTATATAAGAACGTTTTTACTTATGATTTGAGAACATTAATGGTAATGGTTATGGTAGTCAGTAAGGTCCATTAATGGTTTTGTATTATCGCTCAACTTTACGTGGAATATATCGTGAATTGGTAATCAGTAAATTACAGGCAACCAATTCGCGATATATTCCACATAAAGTTGATCGATGTTACAAAACATCATCCATCATAGCATCCACCTTAATCACATACACCTTACATACAGTATGTGAATATCTTGTCACCGGGTGTTTGAATTTTAACTCTATCATTGTATTTCTTATAACCAGCCAGAAATGTTTGTTCTTCTGGGATATTTCCACTTCCAGAGGTAATTCTACCGATGCATTCAGCATGATTCAGCTTACTACATGCCCAACCTGTAGTCCAGTGTATGCTTGAAAGTCGGTTCCGTCGAATGATTCATCCTCAAGATCTTGTAGAGTTTCCACGTGTTTATCACAATCATTACGTGAATGTTGCTTCTGTACTACGTTAAGCTGTCGTAATTCGTCATTTGCAATGATATGTTTGCTTATGTCAGCTTGCACGTTGCCAACCTTTTTAGGTACAAGTAGTTGGTTAATTACGACAGCTTTGTACGCGGATGAAAACTGAGAAGAATCGGGGTGTGTATTATTTCCGTTTTTCCAGCGTATAACCGAAAAAAAATGCTCAAGGCAGTCTTGTGACAAATTACGAGTACGTAGGAATCTGAAATCATGTTGTGTTTCCAGTTCCTCCCACAATAGTTTAATTGCTAAAATGTAAGAAAGCCATCCACCAATGAAGAACGGGGTTTTCGAATTCTTTGTTAACGGCGTGAATTTGTTTTCCTGGAAATAGGAGATAGATTTTAATATTTTATATAATATTTTTAAATTTAAGTAAACATATTGTACCATTGCAAGATCCAAGCAGGCTTTCTCTACGAAGTATAGCTTACGCAGTTTTTCGGATACTGTATCCAAAAACGCCCAGTGTGGAGAGCCCGATTTCAGAGGTCGCTTGAATTCCTGTTTAGTAAAAAATTAAGTAATTGGTTTTATCTATAGTAATTGAACATTTACTTTTTTCTCTTTAAGGCTCGAGCTGTTCGCGATATCGAACAACATATCGTAGTCTTCACAAAATTTAGCGGTGTTCAAAGCTCGCTCTGATAGTTTTCTCGTTCTTACATAATCTTTAAGGCCAACTACGACCGAGTGACTGAGGGCTTGTACAGCCAAGCCAACATTCATTTCACTGAACTGTGATAGACGTATGTGTTCATACGATAATCTAGGAACGACTTGTGGCACGTGTTTCACGTCTTCCCAGTAAAGATCGACAATATCATTGAAGCTACAGAGTTGGCCATCCCAAACCGCGTTGTTTTTAAGCAGGTTATTTCTGCACGACTTAATTAGATGTGGAGCGTCAAACATGCAGTATATACGGTTCGTTCCTTCTCTGACTCGCATATCAAAATAAGGGGCCTCCATTGTAGCTCCGTATTCCTTTGAAAACATGTTCCGATTGACACTGTTTTGGTCGCATGTTATGACCTTTGGAATGAATCCGGCATCAACGATCAGATCCAACGCATTGTCTACAATAGATTTCTGCTGGACTGCAGTGAGGCCAGTGCAGAAAAAATAGCCAATTGCCTGTTTGAATCCAGACCGGATGGTTTTTATCATAAGTGTCAGAGCAGATTTTGCTCTGACCTTTGTATTCGTCGTGTCCTGTCCAGGTAATTTTGTTGGAAATCCACTGAAATAGTCCGGTTTTGCTTGATAAAAGTACGTTACTCTTTCGGATATCGCCATTTCATCCAGGAAAAGAGTAACAAGCTTCTCATCGTCCTTCATTGTGGATGCTTTCATCTTTACCAACTGGAATACCGCTGTCGAGAAGCCTTCTCGGATGTTTATACGCCCCAACCATTTGCGCACGGTACTCAAACCGGGCAATGCCATAAACTGTCGTATTTGCCGGTACGCCTTCGTTGAGCAGTACTGAAGTACGAGTGCCATGTTCTTCATGGCATCAGAATATCGAGCTCCACGGCACTTTCTATTCCTATTCTTTTGCAACTCAACAAGAATAGAATCCTGAAGTGGGTTGGTAAGAAATGCGGTTAATTTATCCTTAACTTTCTTCAATTCCAACCGTAGTTTGTGGATGACGGCATTCTTCTTGCACGTAGATTGTTTGTTCTTTCGAAGTTCTCGTTTTAGTTTTAAGTTTTCCGTCTCCAGTTCAACTAATCGATCTGCCATGAACACGTATCTTACGAGGGGGGCGACACATCTAAATCTCAATTTTAGATGCTCAAAAAATATCACACTAGCGAATCAATTTTCGAAAAATCTTCTTGCATTTCTCGCATCTACATGCATCGTGCATCATCTTTTTGCAGGAAATCTTCAGAATCGTCATCAATCTTCTTTCTATCTACTCAGCGTGCGAGCAGCTAGCCACAGCACAACACAATCTTTCCTGCAGCGTAGATAGAGTCGTCCCCCTCGGTATCTTATTGGATCGAAACAATAATCGTGATCAATATGCTCAGAAACTTTGCTAGGATTTTCACGGAGTCTGTGTGTCGTTAGAGGAATTTGTGGAGTCGAATCAGAGGAATCGTCGATAACTACCTCACCCACCACATCCATCGAATGCTCTAGGACAACTAACAACTGCTTCACTGGTTCCATCCGACTCGCTAAATTGAAAGCCAACGTCCATCGAACTAATGCCATCTAAACGTGAAAGTTGGTTCGCAACGTTCCGATTTGGAGACGGAACAGCTGTCGGTAGCAGTCTGCAGATAAGAAAAGCTTATAATATATTATTTAGAATTAATAGACATCAATTATCGCTAACCCCTGAGTTTTGCAAAGCGGATTAATGAAGTCGTCATCCTGGAAGTGATCGCTGCCAATAACTGATTCCTTCGAAAATTTCGTGACACCGCAGACGTTAATCCATTTCTCCAAGTCTCTTGAGCTGGAACCCAAGAAAATATCACTCAATAGTTCATCAAAAAACAACAGCTAGAGAAATACCTGTTTTTCACTAGAACCTTGTGAAACGTTTTTGAACTTGGACCGGAAGCAGCACTCATACAATTTTGAAACTCGCACCGTCGAAACCCCATTTCGGTTTCTGATATGAATCACTGCTGTTTCAGACAGAAATCGGTACTCAAAGTGTTCGTTCACGCAAATGCAGATATGCATGTTAATCACAAATAACTCTGCACGCTATGATTAAATAAGCCATATATAGATTATTTTACTCAAATTGGGCGTAAACTGGACGAACTAAAACACGGGAAAATTCATGTCAATTTTGCATAAAAATAAATCACATATGAACACCATTTGGGTTTGTTCGCTTTGCGCCAATCAAGATTATTTCTTTGTAGAATCTTAGTAAATTGATCTTAGCGTGCAAAGTTATGAATGCGCAGGGAGAAAAAAATAGTTCACCCGTTGACCGCTATTCTCAGCCAGGCGCCACATTGTTGTTGCAAGTTTCTTTTCCGAAGTGGCAAATCTATGTTTTAATTATCTAAGCTTCAATCTATTAACAATTGATAGGATTATGAACCGAGGTCCCATTTGAGCAACTCCCCGGCAAGGTGACAGATAATCTTAGTTTCACGTACCCACTTGCAAATAGTAGATGTCGCCACACAACGTAAACAAAGGGACTGCCCTTCACCGCCGCAATGGCATTTCTCTATGGGAAGGCAACTTTTTGTTTCACCATGTGTGGATGTCAAGCAACAAGCAAGAATGCCATGTGAAAAGAGCGATTTATGATTTTCGTGGTGAAATGAAATAAATCCAAACAAATTGGAACAGATTGATGGAAGTTTTTCTTATATAATCAAATAGAAATAAAAACACATTGGTTAATTCTATTATATTTTGCTCTTGAATATTATCAGTCTTGAGAATAATGTTTCTGAGCATACTTGTGCGGTGAAGACTTTCAATAAAAAGCCGTATAATTAAAAACAGTTTACTTCCCCATCTTTCTATTGAGGGATGAAAAAAAACACAAAATTGATTCTTATTCGCGGTGAGTAGCAGGTTTGCTGTGTGAACACTAACATTTCGTATATCCATTCAAACATGAAGAAATAAATAAAATAAATTAAAATAAGCGTCTCTCAACAAAAGATATTCATAATGAGCTTCTAAAACGAATAAATTTCAGTGATTGTCTTTTGTTACACCCGTCCGTTTAATTAACATTGTTCCCCACCAACTTGAAGTTTCAAGAAACAGATGAGGCTATCTGTTTTTATGTTCAGTATTTTATTTACTTTATTTACATATCTGCATTCGCCCTATTCAGATAACACTTCTGAAATTTGTGAGTTTGACAGAACCACCAGCACCAAATTTTCGGAGTACACTGGAAATGTACTGGACTTGTCAAGTTGCCCCCGGGTTGCATTTGAGTGATTCCAATGGATATCAGATCTTTCTCATCAAGAAACATCAGATATTGGTCTGTGAATTTTTGGGCTAGGAAGAAGATATTTTTAATTAGCAACGGATCTATAACGATACTCAAAGTAGAGGAGAAAGTTTAATTTTTTTTTT